AAGGACAGGACTGTTTTGCCCTCAGGGCTCACTCTCATCTTTTCAGTGGGTCTTGTATGGCCTCCAAACAATTCTGCGTTTCATACGTATTTATTGAGCACCCCCTGCTAGGGTCTGGGGTTGTAGGAGTAAACCAGTCAAGTAAAGTCACTTCCTTCAGAGAACTTACATCTGCAGGGTGGGATGGGGCAGAATTGGGTTCTGCTGTATGTGAGAGAAATTTCCAGATCACCGTGGTTTGACAAGGTAAATGCTCACGTCTCTTTCAGGTTAGAGAAGTCTGCGGTAGGGATTCCCAGGAAGGTGGCAGCCTTCGTGGTCAGGGAGACCTGGGGTTCTTCTCACTTTCTGCTCCAGCATCTTAGCTTTGCTTCTGCCTGCAAAGCAGCTGTAGAGCCCAAGAGGGCTGCTGGAGCTCTAGCTGTTGCACTAGCAATTCCAAGTAACAGGAACTTTGCAGGGTTGAAAGGCAGAAAGGCAAGAAAGGGCACCTACCTTGCTGCCTCTTGGGTTATGGCTAGAGACATCCCAGAAGTGACATACACTTCCACTTACTTTCATCAACCCATTATATTTTACTGACTTATTTTGTTTACGGCTTGCCTGCCCTTCATGTGGCTGGGACATTTGTCAAGTTTGCTGCACCTGCAGCATTCACATCAGCCCTGGCATGAGGAGGTGCTCCGTAAATATTTGTAGAGTGAATGAGACAAACTCAGAATCAGGACCAATGCAGGAAGGCAGTGCAGTGAGGGGTGGCCCAGACTTTAGGAAGGCCTGGGCTCTACTGCCCCAGGGCCACCAGGGCGGTCCAGTGGAATTTCCTGCGATGATGGAAATGTGCCACATCTGTGCCACCCAGCATGGTGGCCACCAGTAGCCGTGCCATAGAGAGACTGAAATTTACATCCAAATGGTCCGTGACTACCCTGAGACTGCACAGACGCCCAGGAGAGCCAGCCAGCCAGCACGGAGGGGAGTCTTCCCAAGCAGAGCAGCAGTACAGGGAAAGGCTGTCCCAGGCAGAGGGGCCAGCAAATGCTGAGGCTCTGAAGCAGGAAACGCAGAGGCTGGATCAAGGGGAAAGGAGGGGCCTGGTGGCCACACAGAGTCCTGTCCCAGAGGCGGGAACTTTGTCCTGATCTGGTTTTCTGTCTCTGCACTTCTGGTCTCAAAAACAGAGAAGGGAGGCATCTGGGGCCACCAGGCAGAAAGAAGCTGGGGAGTGTGCGCCAGCAGCGCGGGTGGCTGGCTGCTTCTCCGTCAGTCACCCTCATTTGACCTGAGCTTGTGGAGCATCAGGCAGGGGAGAGGGCTGCCCGTGGCTGCCCTCAGGCAGATTTCTGTTTTTACTTCCCCGAGCGTGGGGAACTTTGCCTTTGTGAGCCCCTCCTGTATTCCATGCTTATGTGGGTACAAAGGCAAATACAGTTGGCCCTCTGTACCCTCAATTTCCAAATTCTCTGATTCAACCAACTACAGATTGAAAACATGTGGGGGGAAAATGGCCTCTGTACCAAACATGTCGTTTTTCTTATTACCCTCTGAGCAATATTAGTAGAGCAACTCTTTACAGAGCATTTGCAACCTCATAAGTATTACAGATAATCTAGAAATGATTTGAGGTATACAGGAGGATGTACCTAGGTTGTATGCAAATACTGTGCCATTTTAGATAAGGGACTTGAGTTTGCACGGGTGCTGGTACCCACTGGGGTCCTGAAACCAGTCACCGTGGATACCAAAGGACGACTGTTGATGGCCTGTCTTCCTTTTGTTCCTTCTGCTTTTTAAAAGACATTAAAACACTTCTCCTAGCAGTACTGTGGCCCTAGAGCTGGTAGCTCGAGTGCCGGGAGAGGTTGCCCTGCCTTCAGGGAGCTTCCATGTTAGAGGCTGGTACAGAGAGCAAGCAAGTGAACTGGGTCATTTCAGATGAAGACAGGCGTGACAGGGACACATGGCAGACAGCTGCGGGACAGGCAGAGGACTGTGGGGTGGAGGAGTCAAAGATGAAAGGATGGTGAGACGGGGGAGGACAGGCTGCAGGGAGAAGAGCCAGGACTTGTCAGTTCTAGGCCAGGACAGAGCTGGGGTGCTGGGGAGCAGAAGAGGTGGGGTGTGGTGGGAACAGGGGGAACAGGTGAGAGATGCAGGCGAGGGCGCGGCGACAGAGGGCGTCTTCGCGTGGGTCATCTGGAATGGGAGCCCAAGATGGTGATTTCTGTGCCGGCCGTTTGCTATGGTGGAACCTTCAGAGAGTGACGCCAGCAGACCGGTCCCCACTGGAGTCTCTCTTCAGCCTGATCCCACAAGGAGCTCGGGAGTGTGAGCTGCACCCCGGAGCCAGACCTGCCTGGTACCTGGGCCTTACAAGTCCCTCCTGGGCACTGCTCTGAGAAAGAAGCTGGTTCCCTGGGGGAACCTGCGATTCTCTGGTGCTGCCAGCAGGTGGCGCCCACAGGAGGGGAGCTCGAGGGGAGGGGTCTGCGTGCAGACAGAATTGGGAATTCAGATCTGCTTCTAACCAACATGGGATGCTGCTCCAGGAGTCCAGGCGGGGCCATTGCGTGCCCTGAATTTCTTCTCAAAACATCCCTTTGACTTTTGTATGGCCAGAAACCCAGAAAGGGGTGTGGGGATAAGTAGGGGCAGGAGTAGGAAGAAAGAGGTTCCTGCTGCCCTCCAGGTGAGCGCCGGTTGGGACCTGGATACAAGAAATGATGGCAGGAACCGCGCAGCTTAGTGATGGTAGCGCCATGGGGTTGGCTGCACATCTGCTCTGTTCTCCGTCCTTTCTCCCCCTGCCCACACTAAAAACTTTGCCCTGACTTAGATGTGTTTCCACTTTCTCCCCACGGTGCCCCCTGCCTGTGGAGCCCTGGCAGAGGAATGCGGGGTGGTGGTGTGGGCAGCCGGGAGGCTCCATGCCCTGACTGACTCTCCTCTGCTCTCTCCTCTCTCCTGCTGACTGCCGCCCCAAAGTCGAGCTTTGATCCCCACCACCGCTCCCAGCCAAGTTATGAGCGTCCTTCTTTCCTGCCTCCGGGACCTGGGCTTATGCTCCGGCAAAAATCCATCGGTATGTCCCCGGAAGGGTGCATGTGAGGGACATGGGGTGGGTGGCTGATCATTTACGTGTCAAGCAAGGGCGCTTGGAGATGTTTTCTACTTCCACCTGTGACCACGTTCTGTCAGGTCTGGCAAAGAGCTCAGACTTTGGAACTGGGGAAGCGCGGTGTGAATCCTGGCTCCTCTCCTGAGCTGTGTGACCTGGAACAGGTGGCTGCTCTGGGCTTTGGACTCTGCATCTACAGAACAGGACATTTTTGCCTTCCTGGATATAGGATTAGTGCTCAGAAGAGAGGATGGGGCCCTTAGACAACTGGGAGTTGACAACAGGTTGGGAGGAAGGCAGATGCGGGATGGGAAACAGGTGAGAGGGTCAAAGACAGTGCTGACAATTGATGAGCAGGCAAAGACCTAACTCCTCCAAGCTTCCCAGAGTGGTTTGCCCATTGGAGCCAGCTGTTCCCCAGCGTCCAGTGTTCACAGTCTCCCTGAGTCTTGCATCTTTGGGGTCTTCCTGGGTCTCGCTGTGTGCCCAGTGCTTTCTCCATCACTTCTCTTAAACATTGGCTGCACCCTGCGCATCCTACCTGTATAGTCACAGGTCTGAGGCGCTGACTGCATTTTCTTGCTGCATATACATGAAAAGAAGCCCACACTACCCCCATAATCACGGGGATCCCTTCCCAGCTCAAGCTTCTTTGGCTCACCCCAAGCCACCACCAGCACACCGCAGCCTTTCCGCAAATTAGAAAAAGGCGCCCCCTCATGGCTCCAGGAGGAAATTCAGATGAATTTCGCCCCCTGCCCTCTTCCTCCCCCTGCTGTTTGTTGTTGCGCAGTGCACAGCCTGTATCAATTGGAGGCGTTGGGCTAATATCTGAAATTTTTAGCATGTGATACCAGGTCATCGTTATCATCATCATCATCATCATCATCATCATCATCATCATCATCACCACCATCCCTACTACTGCTTCTGCTTTCTATGGGATAGGGGAGCGGGAGACTCCTGCCCCTAGGCCCCATCCTGGATCCTTTCTGTCTCCCTAGGGGCTGCAGAGGATGATAGACCCTACCTAGCACCCCCGGCCATGAAGTTTAGCCGCAGCCTGTCTGTGCCTGGTTCGGAGGACATCCCCCCACCGCCCACGACGTCCCCACCAGAGCCTCCCTACAGCACACCTCCGGCCCCCTCCACCTCCGGCCGCCTTACCCCCTCCCCCCGGGGTGGCCCCTTCAACCCAG